CAGCTCTTCCAGCTTGTGATGTTCTGCCCGCTGATTCCTTACGTGTTCCCTAAAACGCTTGAAATGCTTGGAAGGCTTTTTTTAAATTGTTTTTGCAGATCAACGATGAAACGCCATTAGGCAGAGAATCCCTCCTTATTTGGGAACGCGGGAGAAGAAGTGGAGAAGGTCTGGGGCCCTGGACTCCCCGAGTTCGGGGAATGATGGGTTAGAAGTTGGAGAGAGAAGAGCAGGCAGTTCTTTAATAAGCTGCCCTCTGAAGCGGTCCCAGTGTCCTGATTTTCTGTGCATGTTACAACCTCCTCCCTTCTCAGCACTTGATGGGATAAATTTAGTTTCATTGTGTAACTTGCTGGCTTGTATTCCATGGGAGGTGGCTTTGGTAGTTGGTTTGGATAATATTTTGAATGAACGGCAGGGGTATGTAGCACATACCACCAATATTTTTTATATTGCAGAGGCAAAATACCACTCCTTTTTTAAAATTTAAAATAATTCTCCAACCTGTTAGAACTTAGTGATCTGAAATTACTTGCTTCATTGTTAGAAAAGCTGCTGTTGAGGGCATTGCGAGGCCTCCCTGAGAATTTTAGATTAATGAGATATTAGGATGCTGACTTTAGTTAAAGGGGAACAATAAAGAAAAGGAGGGGAAAAAGGGGGGGGGCAGATAAATAGAAGTGCCAGGAAAGAAAGGAGAAAATAAGAGAATCGCCAACCTTTTAATTTGGTTTGTACATGTATTAATACTCCACAAAAAAGTTCTTTAACAGTCTTTCATTCGAGAGTGCTTAATTGGCACTCTGCCTGAAGTGAACCAGAAAATGGCTCACTTGGAATGAGAATTGGAAAGATACCACAGTACCAATCTGGTGACTATAGACATGAAAAACCTCTGGTGCTGCAGTATCTTCTGGTAGTCCAGTTAAGCAATATCTGATTCTTCCAGGACGCATGCTATAAAAACAGTGGCCTTCTGACCCCTTGTACTAGAGTCTGTGCACTGGAAATTAGTGATTTTTTTTATAAGAGAAGGGATTACAGGGGATGAGGGGGGCAACACCCTTAAAAGTAGAACAAAAACTTGCAGTTATGAACAAGGACTTTGTGAAGTAGTTGTGGCTCCTATCAGCATTTAACATCCATATGTGTGTGTCCGCATATATTGGATGAGGAGGATGAAAAGAAGAAAGGCCAGAAGTTAAATGAGGGCAAGAACCTTGGAAGAAAAGCTGCGAGAATGTAGAATTACAATTTTGAACTGAAAAAAACTGTAGCTAACCCAGGTCCTTATAACAGTCAAAGACCATACAGGATAATGAGGAACTGAGCTCTTAACACTTGCTTTCATTTTTTTTAGTTATTAAATGCACTGAAAAATTTTGAGTTTCCAAACAAATACTCAGACCTGAAGAGCTGCAGGTGAGAGAAGCATCTCCCTGAGATGCTCAAAGACAAAGGCACATATGTTTCCTTTATAAATATTCAGGGGTTTGTTATTGGGGGGGGGGAACAGATGTTAAGAAGCTCTGGCCAGGACGTGCCCTGCCAGTTACACGGGGGTAGTAGCGTTCACCTTCCTAGAAGAAACCTGTATGTTTCAGCACAGTTGTGTGCTTGAGTTCTCCTTGCACTAAGCGGGATGAGTATTGTAGTAATACGTTATAATTATTGTAAAACTAAACTATCCAGGGTCTCACAGTGATTCTCTGACAGAGAGAATCTCCGACAGCCTCTTTCTCCGAGGCAGAGACTCGGAAAAAGCCAGGCAGCCCATCCCTTCCACCTTGGCACGTGAGGTGAACGCGTACTTCTGTGTGCCTGACTGCTGCGTGCACGGATGCTACGTATTAGCATCCGTGAGTAGTTTCACAGTTGGTAGGGCTTGTGAATGAGAGTTCAGAAAGCTTCTCCAGAATTCTGAGAGCAAGAGAAAGAGGTTCGGTGTCTGATTTTCGGTGTGATTTGCTTCAAGAATCTTTCTTCCTTTGCACGGTTTTACTAAATTTAATTTCTTCCCAGACTCCGTTTCCTCGAAAAATGCTGTCGAATTTCCTCGCTGCACCAACCTCCCAGGCTCTTCTGGCTTTGGTGGTTAGCTTTTGGTGGTTATTTCTCCACTTACATCAGGTATGCTTCAGGAATCTTTCTTCCTTTGCACGGTTTTACTAAATTTAATTTCTTCCCAGAGTGCAGTTCCTCGAAAAATGCTGTGGAATTTCCTCGCTGCACCAACCTCCCAGACTCTTCTGGCAGTAGCTTTTGGTGGTTATTTCTCCACTTTCATCAGGTAGATACTGAGACAAGAGTCAACCATTGCTGCTTCTAGGATTGCCTCTCAATATGTTGCATTGTTCTCCTGCCAGCGGGTAGTTTGACGTATGATTTTAAGCGATGTTAAAAGCATTATGATGTAGTGCTGTGCATCCTTCTGTGCCTGCCGCTTTGTGGGGAAGCGACCACCTAGCGCATGCTCGCTCTCCCTGTGCAATAACTAGAGATATCACTTAGGACCTGCAAAAGCTCATTAAACAGTGAAGAACCTGCGTATCACAGTCATCATGTAAGGAAACTGCCTATCTTTTTATGAAGACATCTTTGGGAACGCTGGTGGAAGGTGAGAGAGTGACAGCACAAAGATAGGGCTGTAGCACATGACAACGTGGAAATTTTGGAATAGACCCAAGCTGTTCTTGGTAGCCTAATTTGGAGCATCTTCTTTGGCTTTTTCGGTTCACAGGCGATACAGAATCTATAACTTAGATGGTCTCAGAGCCGCTTTTAACTCCATAGTGTTTCTCCTGCCTTTTTTCATACACATTGTGGGATCATTATTGTTCTCTTTTATATCAATAATTACAGGGAAACCCCACTGACTGGTGAAATCACTAGGCTTACTCTAGGCTTACTCTGATGTCAAAGAGAATATTTATTGTAATTACTGCTGCTTGAAACTTGCTACACTGACTGTTGGGCTAAATGCGACTGAGTTTAAAACCTATAAAAAAAACTTTTTTTGGCATATTGAAATTAATTCCATGCCCAATTAATTTCTTCAGCAGTGAGATAATGTCTGTCGCCTCAGTGCTCTGCAGTTAATGATGTCCCTTCTTTTACTATCCTAGATATTAAATATCTCACTGATATTTTATTGGCAAAGCAAACGCCTCTTCTTCTCTCTTTGTTTCTTCTTTTCATTATAGCCAACTCAAGAGATAGAAGAACAGCTGTTTCACCACTTTGCAAAGAATTCTGCTTTCCTCCTGCCTGACTGTCGCAGATTCCACCACCAGGAGGCCCTCATTAAAGTGCTTATAGCGAGGCAAAGAAAACACAAGGACAGTGAAATGAGATGGAGAAACCCGTCCCCACAGGAGTAATCCGAAACTAATACTTATCCTATAAATAGAGATTTTCAGAGTGCTGTGCAGGCATCTATTAATTGATTCTTGCAGGAATCCTAATATCCAACCATCAGTCGTACTGTAACTTTTGAGGATACTGGGGTGTCATGGGTGGTATCCCTGCACTGAATCACCAAGTGATAGCTAGGAAAGTTCATGCTTTGTCTTCTGGACAGGAAAGCTCTTAATAATGTAAGTAAAACGATAAAATGGGGTAACGCATGGTTTTGCTTTCTAGTCACTCACGTCTGCCCTCTAGCTTTCACCCAGGGAATGTGCCTTCACCTAATTCACCTCTGCCTTCTCTCTTATTTACTCATTCCCGGGTTCTTAATTTTCTTTCACTTTTCACAGCAAGCTTTTATTGTCTCCTAAAGGTTCTAAATATCTGGACTAACAGTCTGTCTGATTGTTCTCTTTTGCTAACATGACCTTTAAAGAAAGGGGGAAGGAGAAATGTTTTCATCCTTGTTTTGCCAAATCATGCACTTCTTTCCTTAATTACTGGCTCTCCAAAGCTGCCGTCATTCCTTTGGCTGAAATGTAGACTTTGTTATTCAAAAGAACAGTGTGTCTGTGATATCTTAACTAAAAAGTATATACAGTTGTCATTTTTCTTTCCTTAAACCCCAGTTTTTGCTCTTCACTGCTGAGTCAAGCCTTGTATATCTGCTCCTGTTCCACTTTCTCAAGATCATGTTTCGGTACTGATGAGTCCAAGACACAGCTTTGCAATGCCATTTCAGAATGGATGATAGGTGAGAGTGGCTTTGCTCTCTCATTGGAAATGCGGCTTGTGCAAGCTGTAGGCTGCAAATTGAGTTACCCGTTGTCTTTCAAACTCGGTTTCTGCCCTCCTTCCCTGAATTCACACATATACATTCCAACCATTTACGTTTGTTTACTTGGGCCTTTCTTATACGTCCTAATGTGTAAAACATGTATCCTCTGCTCTAAGAAGCAGAAAAAGTGTATATGAAGCCATGATGTTGTATACAAAGTTCCCAGGCCTCTGAAGAGGTTTTCCAATCATTGTTCGCCATTCTGGCCACACTGTTCACCTTAAAGAGTTTAAGCAAATACACAGGTAGTTCTGCCACTCACATGCTCTGGGTAGAGTCCGTTGCTTCCTGACGGAGTTTGCCACGAGGCTGTCCTTGGTGACCGGGAGACCGAAGGTTCAGAGGACACATGCAGCCCACACAGCAGTGAAAGCGTCTTTAAGCTCCATTTCATTCTGTTCCTATTACCTGGCTACTCCTTGCTTGGTTCCGTGTCTGTCTTTTCATTCTTCTCTTGGTCTCCTACTTTCACAGCCATCTGTTTCTGTGGGTCACCTAAGATGTCCTTTCCAGGAAATAATGGAATATTAAACCTCTAGTCTGTAGATTCCCGATTAGCGGATGCAGGGAGGCTGTACCAGGGAAAGGATCTCGGTATGGGTCGGTTTCTTATGCTCTGTTGTAACCCTCCACAGCTGGCAGCTGCTGGAGACAAGATGTTAGGCCTTTGGGCTGAGCTGCTGTGTTGTTTATAAGGGAGAGCAAATGGGGCCTGCATTCTAAATCCCCTTCTAAGCTTATTTTATCTCATGCCTTAGATGAATATGTCCGTACAAACAAGTGATACTGCATCATGAGAAAATGTGAAGCTTAGTGTGTATAGCACACTATGAAGATGGGAGAAAGGTGCTAAATATTCTTTTCTCTTCCGTGTTCTTTCACCGTTCCTTCTTTCTCTCCACTTAGGCACACTACCAACCCCAAGAAGCTACACTAGCTGGGGCTATTCCCAGCTGGAACCAGAGAAATTCAAGATGAACATTCTCTGTCACCAAAGGGAGAGCAGAATAGTAAGAACGGTGATGTAAGCAGTTCTCCCTAGTCCCTGCTAATCTAAATAAGAGTTTGTATCCAAACCGGGTGGTCATTTTTCTCCCCAGGATGCCTTGATCTACAGGTCTTACTCTATACTGATCCTTTGTGTTAGAAAGGTATGCCTGTGGATGGCCTTTTATCGAAGGCAAAAATCGGAAATAACGTGGGCTTTAGATGATGTGGTGTCTGCAGTAGCACGAGAATGGGCTGTGTGGCCCAAAAAGTCCCTTCCAGTCCTGGGTACCTCCTGCAAGCTCACATGCAGATAAGGGAGCTTTTCAGGCTTTTGAGGAATGCAGATGACTGCTCACCTACGGCCTGAACTAGCCTGGGGTAAAAGCTATTCAGGGACACTCAGGAAATTTAGAATCCATTCCTATGAGACCTGTGAAGGCCAGGTACTGTAGTGCAGTAAATGGGGGATCCAACTGTTTTGTTTTCCTGTCTTAATTTTGCCTTGTTCCCTGGGTTAGCAAGGGATGGAAATACGAGACCTACTAGGACCAGGTAGAAGGTGGTCTTGAGAGCTCAACAGTTGTCATATAAATAGCTGGATGGTGTCAATGTGTTCAACAGCAGTAAAGCAGGATT